TCACACATTTTTAATGACATCATATGCCATACACCTCATTTCCATAGATTTTTAGATCGATCTATCCCTGTGGGGAGTCTCACTAGATTACTGTCAGCTTGGCCAGCTTAAGCGTCTGTCCCACCTACTAAAAGCTGTAAGGGGGTAATTAACTATGGTGCCAGCTAGGCTGACTGCAATTTAGCGTGAACCCCCAGGGAGTTAGGTCGGTCTTAATCTTAATCTTTAGATCGATCTAAATCTCTGGGAAAGCACCCATAGTGGTCAAAGCTATGAGTATTGGCCAAAACACTCAGAACAAGATTTTACAATGTCTGACTGTTAATCAGTTTTAATACAATGGAATAAGACACTGAAATTATAATTCTTATCCTCCTAAGACCCCAGTCATATTTGGCTGTAATGGCTGCCGATGTCACATCAGCATCCAAAAATGAGATCTTTACTTATGTTACTGAGGTTTCTGAAGAAGTGAATCAAAGTTACCGAGATAAAAATCAGCACTACATTCATTGAATTCCTAGACACATCTTTGTTGAAAACTGCTGCCTAATGTTAGCGTTAACTACTCAAGTTTAGAAATGAACTTTCATAGTAATAAATAAATGAAAACATAAAAGAATTAACTTTTCCCATATCAGCAAGGTATGCCATATCTAAAACCCTTGAGAAAATTGAATTACAAAACATAACCCTTTAAACATTAACTATTTCTCATTTATAACTTTTTTAACCTTTGACCTTTCCCTGACCACTTCCAAACTTTTAAAAACATCAGTGCAAGTTACAATTCAGTGTGAAGATATGAATAATATATGTACCAGATAACATTAAAAACAGCCATGACTGTAAGAAAAAAAAAAGGAAAAGGTAATGCCTTCATTCTGATGAAAAAACAGCACAATATGCAGCCACTATGTGTGATAAACATGGAGAAAAATTGTTATTTTAGAAAGTGTTTTAGATGTGACAGTGAGTTAGATGTGACAGAGCATAAGATGTGACATATGGTGACATTAGAGAATTAAAAATGGGCAATAATGTATTACATATGAAATTGTATGAAAATAATCGAATGTGTTTGGAAAATTGAGGGGTGGCTTTTTTTTAAAATACATAATCTACCTTAAGTATCCAAAGGCCAAATGCGCATCTCAACTAACACAATGTCACCTCTAATATTCAACACAATGACTCTTCTACAGCAATTCACACCCCATCCTACACAATTACTGTCATACTGAACATTCATACTGCACACCGAACATCTTGATACTGTCACACCTAACACATTCAAACTGTCACATCTAGCACATTTTTTCTGTCACGTCTAGCACAATTAAACAGTCACACCTACCACAAGACAACATCTAAAACATGCTCTTTACATGTAATAGCAGCCAGCTGCAAATGCCACAACACAGAGATGGAAAACAAATTATGATTTTAACTTTATAGACAAAATGGCAGTAAACAATATTGGACTTTTCATCCCTGTGTTAGCTTTGTGAAGCCCTTAAGTCTTTCTATCAAAGTCACAAACTTCTTTAAAAAGGGAAAAAATATTACAGTGGCTGTTTGTGCTGATGTTTTGTGCTGTTCTTAACCCAGAGAAAATGTGGAAATCTATCCAAGGCTTTGAGACATTTATCAGTGAAGAGCTGACATGAGGTAGAAAAAAGCTTGTTATGAATTATAGAATTGGTATTGTCTTGATTGTGTTTAAAGTGACATAGGGCATTGTGGTGTCCCTCTGGTGGGAGTTTTGAATCAGGGGATGTGAGGAATCCATGTTGGTAGTAAACAAAGAGTTGTGTACTGTTGTATGGTGTTTTGATACATGAGCAAAGGCAAAAGTCCTCTGTACGTGACAGAGCTCAAGTAGTAACTGGGCACCACCTTTTGGGATCTGTTTCATATAACAGAAAACCCTCAAAATCTCAAAGCAGTATTTGAAAAGGTCTTATTTTAATCACCATTTCCATTTAAAAAATCTTCTGGAAAAAGAGGGCATTTTTTCACCTCTGAAGTATATTTTCTTACAAATTTAACATTTTTTTCATCCAAATAAAAAAGGCAATATTAAACAATGACTGTCTTTTACCACCAAGAAGTGTTATGCCATTTCCTGTGTCAGGCTTCTGGTAGATATAACATTGTGTTAGATGCAACAGTGTGTTGGGTGTGACAATGTGATAATGTGACAGTGTGTTAGGTGTGAAAGAAGTGTGTTAGGTGTGACAGTGTTAGGTGTGGCAATGGGAAAAATGTGACAGTGTGTTAGGTGAGACAATATATAACACAGAAGAATTGTGTGAAACTATCATACAATTGAAAGTGTAAAATACAAAGACCGAAGAAAATTTGAGCACTGAGAACAAAGAACACATACAAGGTGGGCTCAGGTCTAAATTACACCTAAATCACAACGTCTCCTTCCTAACAAGTTCATCACAGTCTTGCTTACTAAAGCCATACCACAAAATCTTACTCCTCATACCATTCAAAATATCCAACCTCAATAACTATCTAACAGAAACCTTCAGTCTATTTTCCCCTTACTGAAACATACAAAGGCTTTCTCTTGGTTACTTACAAGTAATATAAACACGCATAAAAAACTGTGAAAAAAATGTAAATGGTATATTTAAACACTGAGTGACCAGTTCTTAACTAGAGATAGTTTGACAATTTCAAACGCATTTGTTTCAAATTCGGCACAATGTGTGCGCGACTTGGCAGCATCTTTGCACATTACAACACAACGAAGTTCCACAAACTGGTAAAATTTTCCAGCAATTCATCTACTTCAATAATATAGCTGCACATCAAAGTAAGTTACAAGAAAAAAAAGGACATCAGGATCTTTGAATAACTGAACACATCCCTATGGCACATGGCATCAATCAAACTATTCTCTGACTGCAATATTGCAACACACCCAAGCAAAAATGCTGCACTGCCTTCCTCTTCTAGACATTTTCTACCTGGAGCCCTGGAAATAGGGCTCAGCATTCAACCTAATAACAATTTCAATTCTTTCTTCTAAACATGTTACCAGTGAGTAGTTGTGCGTACGATTGCTTTTGTTCTGATGACAGTATTGCACAGTTTTCCTGCTGTTACTCCGTGTTCTTGTTGTTGCTGCTGCAGCTGTACTGTTACTGATAATGACTTTTATCATTGCTGTATTTTCTATGTATGTAACACTATTGCTCCAACTGTTGCCAAAGCTGTGTGCAACATTGCCATATGTTTACCACTGTGTTGTGTGAAAATGCTGCTACTGCAGCTGTTGCTGTTGTAACAATACTCTTACTGTTTGCCATCAGCCTGAACAACATTATTGTTGTTGTATTTGTCACTGTCAAATGTGTTGGCATCGCTATATGCTGCTGCATTGTAACTATTCACACCAGCCTCTTGTTACTGTACTGTGATTTCATTGTTACTGTTGTACATCACTGTGCATTGCTGATGTTACTGCTACTGTTAAACGGCAACAATTCAGCATACTGTTACTTCTGATGCAATGTCCTACAGTTGTGGTAGTTGTCAATGTTACTACCTTTTTTTACACACTTGCACAACATTGCTACTGTTGCTGCTGTTGTTGTGTTGTCATTGTTACTGCTTCTTTTACAGACTCGCACAACATTGCTACTGTTGCTGTTGTTGTTGTTGTTCACTGGTGTTGCAGGTTTGATCTCCTTGCTCCTCCGAAGAGCTGGAAATATTCCAAAAGATACCCCAATTATGAAACTGTCTTAATTCCTCAGACTCAAAAAAGATCAGCATTACAATGACATATATAGCTTACAAGAGACACAACTAGCTAATTCCAAAATGAGTGAATAACAGTGGAATTAGAATTTTTCAACAGTCACTGATACAATTTTGACACAAGATTGATGCTAACCAAAACAAAAATGAAACGTGAAACTGAATGAAACACAGTTTGATAAAAATATGCGATACAATTTTAAAAAACACTGACGTGAACTTGACACTTTCACTGAAAGTATTTTTGTATTTGCAATTAGATCATTCTTACTACATAAAGATCAGGAAACATGGAGTACATTAAAAAGTCTACCTAAACAAAGACACTTCGAAATAGTTTTTCACACTGAATAAAAAAAAAAAAAAGAAACTGAAAATTTTGAAATGTATGGCAAAGAGGACAACTAGTAAACTCTCAAATTGGGTTAATATCAAACCAAAAAACCACACATAATACAAATCAAATACCAGGTTTTCTTATCACACAGCTGAAAATCAAGCTTAAAAACATCAGCATCTAGATGTTTAGCGCACACGAGGTTCTCGAGTTGTGGCTGTTCAAAGCGGCATAATGTCAGGAGATAGTGAGAAAAATACCACACACACTCAGGTAAACACACAGAAAAACTGCTTTAAGACAGATATAACATGCAAATGACATCTGATTTTTTTTTGTTTGTTAGTTTGAAAAGACAGCTCATGCTAAAATTGATAAGCAAGGGAAGGGTTTTTTGAAAGAAGAGGAAATGTCAAGTCAAACTAAGCTATCAAACTGAAGCTTAGTATACAAAATCGAAACCACACAAAGTATTATAATAACGTTCTACTTAGGTTATCCTACTTATTTTTAAATTAGAAAAATTTCCACTGATTCAAGGTCTTTCCACAAGGTTTCTATCTTTATTGTCCTGTTTTGAATGAAAAAGAATGATAGCTTAATGCCCTGCCTTTGTTTAAGAGAATCACCTCCCCCATGCTTGATTCAGCGAATTACTTAACACAGTTCATACTTCATGTTGGCCATTTTTCTTCTGTATTAAGCCACACATGGTTAAATCTCAAACTTCCAGTAGGAAGCTAACTAGTAAAAACCAGTCAAGTCCTCTGTTTCATATTTAAATAGGCCACTCAAAACAGAACACTAGGGAAGGGCCAATAAAGACAGAATGTCCTACGTGAAAAGATCCCAAATATCAGTGGATCCAGTCTTATGTCAATACATCTTCAAGACAGATTATAAAACTGGTCAGAAAATTGTCAAATAATGCACATGCAGCATTTTGAAAAGTTATCCATATACAAGGTAACACAACACAGATTATTAACTTTAAGATAATCAATCATAAACTTACATCAAATCACTCACAGATAAAAAATAACTAAAATGACACTTTATCACTGAAGACAACATACACACACAATGAAATTATCTTCTTAATCTAGTAAGAAGTCAGAAAATAATACACAGTTACCTGCATTTTCAACAGGGCCTGGTTTCACAAAAGAACCGACTTATCAGAATTGAATTTTGGTCTTAGGGTACATTCCCAATGAAACTATCGTTCTCTATAGAACAATCAAACTCCATGGAGACTCTTGCTGAATGTAACCAGATCAACAGATTAACGTGTCTCCTCCTCGTTCAGTAGATTACAGAAAAGCTAGTGGTCATACAAGTACATTGGAAACAAGAGGGCGAGTGTAAATCTGTTATTCTGATTGCATTTAGCCAGAGTCCCCGTGGAGTTGGATCTATTAATGTAAAATAACAGGTTCATGGGGAATGAGCCCTTAATAGCAGAAACCAATTTTCTGAGTAAAGTTCTTTGATGAAATCAGCCCCTAAGTCCTATAGGCCTAAGACGGCATTCACAACAAAGTTTGTCCGTGGACTTAACAGTTGGCAATGTATTCTCATTTCCCATGTGCACTGTCCCAGCAGGGTCAACACAATTAAATCTTGGCATGCTTTGTAGTGGGTGGCACCATATTTGATCTGCGGATCAGTTAGTCCATGGATCAAATTGTTCTGAATGTGCCCTTCAAAGATAGATGTTCAAAGTTCTACACAGTGACAACAGCACACTCACCCTGTTAAGTAGCCGTCTATCTAAGACTAGCATCCTGTGAGCAGCAGGGAACAAGCAAACTGGACGTTAACTCATGGCTTTTTTTTTTTAAACTAGTAATGACTCCATCTTGTTGATGGGAAAAAAATTCAGTTTTTTAGATAAATCAGTTTAGAATCATTAAAATATACTTCTGTGTAGCATTTGTGATGCTCTGGTGGTATAGAATAGACCCACAAGGTGACCCACCTTTCAGTTTTGTTGCTACCACTCAATAGGTATGTTCTAATTTATAGAATTTATGACTTTAAAAAATACAGTATCTGTTATATTCTCAATTTTCTCCATTGAAAAGAGTGAGTCATTATTGTAATAGGCAAGTTCACTACAGGTCTAACTTAAACTTGCAATAATCTGTGTGATATCATCAATTGTGTTGTGCCGTTAAGGGTCCTAAACCACCATGTTAAATCACTCTTGGGTAAAAAATATAATTAACTGGCCCCATTCCAAATGCCAGTAAAAATTTGCTGATATATTTAGCAATTGGTCCATATTTCTGCTTTGAGACAGTAGAAAAGACCCTGGGGTGCCAGGGTCCGTTGGACAAAAAGTTTTTGGCACAGGCTGTTAATATGCTAATATCTGGTTGTCCGGTGACATCAATCAGACCAGATCAATTTGAGATAGACCAGATATGAACTGCCTTTAAAGACTAAATAAATCTAATATTAGTGAAAGAGCTCTTCCATGGTCTCTTGTGGAATGGTGGTAAAAAAGTAAATTATTTCTCAGTAAACTAAGTTCTCAAAGGTAGAAAACATGTTTAGTCTCTTCAAAAATCATTTACTTTTAACCATCTTGGTATAATAATGAGTAAATACTCTAGACTCAGAGTAGCAAATAAGAATTCTTACCAAATAATCAATTCAATTTTTCTTCAATCAACAGCTAATATTGAAAATGTTGTTTAGGTTAAATATTTATTTATCTATGCAGAGCACCTTCTTCAGGAAAGTAGGTCACGAAAGTAGGTTAAATTTACAACCAAAAATTTAAAGAAAGGTGCAGTCTAAAGGTCTTTTATGGCTGATCGAGTGATCTATTCAGTTTATCCCTTGGCATGTCAAATTTATTTGAGTCATATAAGAAACTAGTAGAAGTGGTTTACATGTGTTACTGGGAATCCACGCTCCACCGATGCTCGGTTCGTATGTACCTTTAATATAGAAAAACATTGCTGTGCCATCCTGTTGACGGGACATATGGTGCCACATTGTGTTGATGAGACAGCTGATGTGAAAATGTGTTAGGTGAGATGCTGTTCTGAAACTAATTGGTGGTCCATTGTGCTAGGTAAGAAAATTGTGTTAGATGTGATCTTGTGATGGTTACATTGGTTTTTCATTGTGCTACATGAGATGGCTGGTGTGGAATGGTGACAAGTGAGAGCTTGTTAAAGCTATGAATCTATTGTGCCAAGTGGGACACATGTTCTTTATATGTGTTAGATGTGATCTAGCTAGGTGAACAATTGGCAGTTCAATATCACGTGGTATCAGGTGAAACTTGGGAGCATTTACAGTGTGTCATGAAATTGATGGAATAAAGAAGCAGGTAGAATTAAGGACAAATAGGTCAATCATTCTCTCTTATGAAAAGATAATAAAGAGACTAAATGTGTTTTTCTGAGTCGGCCTAGTGATCAAGGCCCTTTGATGAAGGGCTGAAACTTTATGCAACATACTTAGAAAAACAAGTTTAATCTCTTAAAAAAAATTTATTTTTTATCATGTACTAGTGCTGGTGTGATACGATTTACTGACATCTAATGGCAAAAAAAGTCAAATCAAAACCACTTCTATTTTGCTAAACTTCTTGAAAGCAACTGCTGCTAATTAAGCCTTCACTTTAAATGGACTGCTTTAAAAGTCATACAGTGAGAACAGTTGTTTTTCTTTGGTATTGCTTTGAATGTTGTTCTCAAATCAGCCTTCCCTCCCTTTCTGCCCTCTCTCTTATTCATGTTGTATATATACTGTATGATTTGTAAGCTCTATCAAAACAATAACAAAAATCAAATGCAAAAAAAAAGCATCATGGATTGCTGCATAAAACCTTAGTCTTCACTACCGAGACTTAGAACTCTCCTCAGCTTTTTCTGCATAAAGAAGCATATGAAAACAATCTATATACCACTCTTGGGTCTATGCTATAAAACATTGCATATATCCAGTGCATCACATATACAAGATATCATATACCTACAATATATGTTACCTGTACTCATCACAAAGACAGCAGTGTATATGCAATGTATTTTACATAGTATACACTAGAGCAGTATATGATGCACATACATATATGCCATGTATTCAAGATCGGATGTGTTAAGACACGCACTTAAGAATTGCTCAGTTTAGGTCCAAAATTTGTCGCCAAACTAAACAGGATTAATTGGTGATTTAGTAGTCAGCAGTGGGAAATCACACTTGGCCAGGAGTGGCCAAGTGCATGAACCCACAGCATCTGAAATGATCAAATCGCCAGGAAAACATTTTGGGTACCAAGTTACAAATTTTAAGACCTAAAACCGTTAGAGTTTGAGTCTAAGGGGCCATTCCCATAATCCTATCGTACTAGCTGGATTGATGTAACTCCTCGGGGATTCTTGCTAAATTGCATTCAGTTTAAGCAGCTTAAATGTCTGGCATGCCCCCTTTTAACTCAAAGTACTTGGGTAAAGTCAGGGAAACATTGTGATCCATGAAGTTGTTCATGTTGCTTTGCGAGGGGGCGTGCCAGACAATTAACCCGATTACATTGACTGCGCCTTAACGAGAATCCCCGTTGAGATAGACCAATCCTGTTAGTACGATAAGGTTACGGGATCGCAGTCTTAGTCTAAATGCACCTAGAGTGTAGGTGGCACACTAAGCTGAGTGTATCTATATCTATACCTGTCGTAGTAGGGCCACCTGTTATAGCTGGCAGGGGGGAATAGAAAGTGCAAACATTACTGTGCATGCTATTAATATACTGGGCTCATACCAAGGGCAGTTTTCATTTTGTTTTTGCCATACTGGAAAACAACTTTCTGCTGTATCAATTTCTATATCTACCAAATAAATAAGTAATGATTTTTTCAATGAAATAATAACCATATATCATATCAAAAAATCTTAATTTTGTTTTTGCCAACCTGGAAAACAACTTTCTGCTATATCAGTTTCTACCTACCAAACAAATAAGTTATGAATTATTTCAATGAGTACTATTCCAATGAGTATAAACATATGTCATAATGAAAAATCTTATTTTTTCCTAGATATAAAGCCAAACAAAATGCTAAGGCTCCTTTTAGTATGAGCCCATTATGGAAAATTTACTAGCTTATATGCAAAGTCTTTCAGATGCAAGACCTTGGATATCTTTAATAATAAATAACGTAATGCATGGAACATCATTTTGTACAATCAATCCAAAATAACAAAATGAAATCATACTGCACTTAGTCTAGATGAAAAGTTCAAGGAGAATATGTTATTTCATATGCAAAATATTTATGCACTTGGAGCATGCTTATATAAGTTTATTATGAAGAGGATATGTGACCTTTTTGTGGTCTCTAATGACTGAGTGTAAAAGGAAGATGGAAATTGTACAATCTAGCTTTTTTCCTTTTCAAATTGTGCCATTTGGGAATGAAAGTAGGAATGAAATTTCACAACAGAACAGGGATGGTTTAAATTAGTAAATTTCCCTCCATTTGGTAGAAAGTGTGAGTTTGTGCATTATCCTTCGTCACGAAAAATGTGATTTTTTTAAAAACTACATGACAGCACAAGCTAGTGAATTCACTCTTCATTTTTGTCCATATATTCAAAATATTCAATATCAACTACTATGTTACCAAATATTAAATGGATTGTTATAGATGTGACGGTGAAATCTCAACACATTGTGTATAGGCTATGTCCCAGTGTATTGTGTTAGTTGTGACAATGGTTGCGACACCAGCACAATCAACTCACCCTTGGGCCTCCATTGGCGTGACCTTCCTCCTTCTTTGATAATGGCTCCTGCAGTTAAAAAAAAAACACATTGAGCTTTAAAAACTAATGCGAATAAAGAAGCAAAGTTTCTATTTTTCATTTTTGCAGAAGCCAAAAGTTTTTGAAAAATATTCCATGCCACCAAAATATTGAATTATCCCAAGTCCTCATAAGAGACTTTGCTCAATTATAACCACTTCATATTTTTCTCTTTCTTAACTAATGATAAATGCCTGAAACACATTTGTATCTGTACCCCTTGATTTTTTCTTTTCTTTAAAATTCTCACCTAAATCTTTGTTGTATCATCACCCCTTCGTTTTTGCTCTTCTTTAAGCGTTCCTGCTCTTTGTATGCCCTGTACTGGTTTTGAATCAGCAATGCTGCCTCTCGCGTCTTCTTGAACCTTTTCTGAGCCGCGTAGCTGCGGAACTGAGACTGAATGAGGACGGCAGCTGAGGACATCTTTCTGGTGTACACATACTGAAGAAAGGAACATAACATGGGATCAGGAATGAGGAGCAAATAATGAGGATAAGGTATGAGGATAAGGAATAAAGATTAGAAGTGAGGAACACATGAGATCAAGACTGAGGATCGGGAATGAGGATCAGAAATGAGGAGCACAACATGAGACATGGGCCAAGGCAAACAATATGTCATGAGACTTGGAATGAACTATTAACAGTCAAATATCTCTTTAAATATCATTTTTCGGGAAATATGAAACACCATCCATGGATATTTCTTTATGCTATGCTCTTTGAAACTATATGGTAGCATCTGAATGAGTTTAGTGGCAAAGATTTGACATTTCAACCTGCTTCAAACGTAACTTTAAAGGTTCATATGCACTTAAGTTGAAGTCGGGTCACAGCATGAAAATCAAAAGTTCTGACCTGTTTGTATCTCCTGTAGTAATTCTGGATCAAGATGGCTGCCTCTATCTGCCTCTGTCTTTGCAGCTGCTGATTTCTCTTGTCACGGAACTTTTTGTATGCACTCTGAATAACCTTAGCTGCCTCATAGAGACGTCTCTGCTCTTCATCTAAAAGTTAAAACAAAATCAAATTGAAAAATAATGCCATAAATTTTAACAATACTTTTCTTTTTGGCAGTTGGTAAAGAATGATGTGCTACATTCATATTTATCATATAGCAGCATATCAACTGCCTTTCTCAGAAATGGGGTGTTTATTAGTAGCACATAAAGAAAATCAATAGCCAGCTTATGTAATAAAAATAAAAAAAATGATAATAATAATAATTTTTATTATTTCAAAAATATTCATTTTGACTCTGTGCCATACCTGAAAGAGTGAGCTGTGAGAAATCTCTCTCCATGAAGATGGCGGGTGCGTTGAAGTACTCGGTGAAGTCCTGAGTGGTAGGTGGCGGAGAGTCCAGGGTGAAACTGTACGGACTGTGAAGACATGATGATTCCGGACTGTTCACTGAACTTGGTGGTGTCCCCAGGTTAGGGTATCTGTGAAATAATAACATAATTAATATAAATAATAATAAATGAATAGACAAATTTTCAAAAAGATAAATGATGAATCTCTCTCTCTCTCTCTCTCTCTCTCTCTAGTGCCATGGTCGATTCAAATCTCAGTGACTTATAATACCAGTTTCAGAATCCAATTCCTTGCTGCGCCCCATCTCTAGAATTACATTATATTGTCTAGTTTCCCTTGCTTCATAAATAAAAATATTAAAAATCTAATATTATAAATAAATACTGTACTAAATTTCTAAATAATAAATAAAAAAACAAAAAAAAAAAAAAACAAAAGCAAATGAATGGATGTTTGAATATGTAGCCTAATTTTCCTGATGAAGGCATCTTGGTAATGAAATATTTGTGTGGCAGCAACTCGTGTGTTAAGCTGTTGTTGGAAGAAACTACCGTAACTATGGAAACCTCACCTAGATTCATCCAGCGCAAAAGGATCCCCCATCGGTGTAGATATCCCAGAATCCTCTGTGCATGCTGGGTTTGTCGAGCCGTAGGAGCTAAAGGAGCTGTAGGAGCTGCTGCGTTCTCGTGGCAGTGTGAAGGACGAGTCATCTGCGCGACTTGGAGACAGTTTGATTCGCTCAGGCATGGCAGCAATGATTTGATTGGCTAATGTGACCATCTGGCGCTGAGATTGAAACTCCCCTGATGATAAGAAAATAACAGACTAGTATGATGCCAATTTAATGGAAACAAAGTTAATCAATTGCAATTTTCTCAAGGTATACAGTAACAGACAACTAGCGGATCCTGTGACCAGAGAGTTAAAACAAAACAATTCACCTGTAGAATGTGACTGTCCCTCGTCATCCGATGACACTGCCTCCACATCAATGATAGGGCTGTCGCTGCCTGAGAAGTTCTCTGAAAATATATGTACATTCCAAATTTTGATAGCAGTCAACAAAAGGGTTATGCTTTCATTCCAACTATTCATGAATTGTTTAAGTCCATTTGTTTGGGTTAGAAAAGATTTACAGACAATCAAGAACTGTTTTCATTATAGTAACTTCAATCTAAAAATATACCCAACAGCCATATTGTTTCAAATTAAAAAAATATAGACTTAAAGTTGCTCTAAACTTTTACATAAACATTTTTTGGCTTCTCTGACCCAAAATCACTTAGTAATAGTCCAACTGAGTAAAACATTGCACTTCTCTACGACCAACATTTCCTCTATTTTGATGGACGTCAATACACGTTCATCTTGTACTCAAAGAAAACTCAAAGAAACCAACATTTTCGTCTTAAAAGTTCAGAAAAATTCTTTTGTGAAATTGTCCCAAGAAATATTGAGAAAATCTTCATCATTTAAAAAACAATGTTGAAAAATAAATAAAATAAAATAAATAAAATCAGCAACAATAAGAAACTAATAACTACATTAAAACTTAAATAAACAAATAAATAAATAAATAAATAAATAAATAAATAAATAAACATAACTTACCAGCTTCCATGGTGACCACTTCTCCTCCCATGGAAGAGGGCAGACGTCGCAAATCTCGGAAATCCAGTGTGTCTCGATGGGAGCCAAAGGGGAGATCTCCTCCAAGCGAGGCCGCCATGTCTGCGGGCTCCAGGGGTGTCATGTCCAGACTCATAATGTCAGATGTGAATGTGTTGAGGTCAGAGTTGATATGAGGGTCAGAGTTCGCTGACCGAATCACGTGGAACTCCGGCTGCCCACTGGCTGCAGAGTCGGACATTGGTCGGGAGAAATACTGACTGCTGTCGACGGAGAATCTCTTTTTGAGCTGGGCTCTCCTCTTGCTCCGTCGCTCAGCAGCTGTGACAGACTTAGGCGTCGAAGTGCCGGGAATCTCAATTTGCAGTGCCCCCGTGTTGCAACCACCGGCGTTGCTGCCATGGTTACAGACAGAGGTCAAAGGTGAGTTTGAGGTCAGAGGTAAGGTAGAGGTCACCGGGGTGCTGGGGGATGTGACACTGAGGAATGGACATGGGTTGGTCTGGGGGAGGGGGGACCGCGGGAGGACCACGCTGCCCGCTGCTTTCTCCAACATCTCAATCTGGCTGACCAGTGAGAGGTGACCCTGGCTGGTGGCTGCCGAGAGAGGCAGGAGGCCGTCACGATTGCACACTTCAATACCAGAGCGGTTCCAGTGGTACAGCACCAAAGCAGCGTCTGTCTTGCCTAGGGCACATGCCCAAAGCTGAAAAGGAAACATTACACAGTCAGTGATATATGTGATTGAAAAGTGTGTGTGTATGCGCATGTGCCTGTGTTGAAATCAAGTTTAGTCTCTTAAGAAATGATTTACTTTCTTAACCTTTATATATATATATATATATATATATATATATATATATATATATATATATATATATATTTTTTTTTTACATATAAGTTGCTCTACTGATGTGTTAAATAAAGTGACATTGTTAGATTAGTTTCACATTGCAGTTCATCATATTATTTTTGCCTGGTATGTTGATATCTTTGAAAGAAAATTCTGATTTCAGGGAAAGCAGAACATGGCCATGACTTTTTCTTATGGTAGAGCGTTATTTTATTCAAAGTTTTCTAGATATTTAAAGTGAAAATTGCTACGTTTAGAATGACATACCAGTGGAGTAGACATGTGATCATCAAGAGACAGAGCGTCCACTTCATACTCCAACACAAGATTAGGATTCTCTGTCCTGAAAGGTTACAGTACCATGCATTAACATCATGCAAGAAGTACAACATAAAATATCAAATAGAAGATTTATTCAACATCTACACTATTTCATAATAATAATAAGAAGAAGAAGAAGAAGAAGAATTTTAAAAATGATTAATTCTGATGTGGCGTATTTCATAAAATCTCAGTGTTCTAAAATAATTAAAAACAATACTACACTGATGCTTTAATATAAAACACAACATGATGACTAAAATTCAATCAACCATTCCAAAAACTTTACTAGTCAAATGAACTGAAATACTGTCAACTTCTTCAAAACTATTTTCACCTACCTCCACTTGATAAGAGCATTGATAAGTTTGGCGTATCCCAGCGCTGCAGCCAGGTGTAACAAGGTCATGCCGTGATAGGAGTTTTCTGTGGGTAAATGTCCTGACTGCACCCAGACCCTGCGACTTAGCTCCTCGCACTGGTGGATGACTTTGTGCTCAAAACTCTCCGTATGTCTTCCACGGGCACACTGAAATAATAATAATAATAACATCTCTGTCTACATCTACTGACCATTATGAATATAATAATTATTATGATAATAATTATATACAGTGTGGTAAAGCAATATGGAATTTGAAAATATAAAAATAGAATTGATGTCATAACATTATATAAATGTCCTAAATATTTTGAAGCCTTTGACCTCACAACAACAACAACAATAATAGTAATAATAAAATAATAATAATAATTATTATTATTGTTATTATTATAATTTATTTTTATTTAGATTGGAACACAGTGGGTTGAAGTTGTACATAAAATGATTAGTCTAGAATATTTCAATATTAATAAAATGCTATAAGTTTAAATGAAACCAAGCTAAAAGACTGCTACTTGAAAAGTCTAGGAATATTAGCACAAACTCTAACATCACAAGAAAGGAAAATTGGCCTTGTCCTTGACACCACTGGAATATTGGTTGTAAATTTTTATTGAAAAAAAAAAAAAAAAAAAAAAAAAAAAAAAAAAAAAAAACTTTTCTGTTGGTCACCAAGAAAGGACATACTGGATACTTGATACCACAAAGCTTAAGCACACTAGCAGCAATCTTGCTACCTGAGATCACATTACACTGCTATTA